ATAAAAGAGGTTAAAGAGACTCCTCTAGTGATACAACTAGAAGAACCAACATTCAAACCCAGAGCTCTCTGAACTCTTAACAAGAGCTCTTAACAATCTCTTAACACGACCACAGTGTATGCTTTGGGCAAGTTGCTAGACTCTCTGGGCTAGAGGAACTAGACAAGCATTGGTCCCTCCCATTAGAGATAATCTTCACTTCCCTTTCTGCCTCTCTCCAGCACATTCCAGCTCACAGCATGGTGCCCCTTCCCGTGGAATCCCTCTGCTCTCCCAAGAGGGGGTGGGGCGTCTCTCACTTGTAGAAGCTCACTTCCTGGCTGCTGACACTTTTCCTCCAGCTCCTTGATTTGGATTCCAAGCTGGGTGACCTCCTCAGAGACCTTAGTGATGTACTCATCCCTCTCCTTCCAGATCTGCTGCTCTAGCTCCCTCAGCCTGGCCAGCAGGAGATGCCGCTGGTCCTCCAGCTCCTGCTGCAGCCTCTCAAAAGTTGTTTCTACTTGTTGTTTTTTGTTTTCAATCTGAGTCTGTTAGGGAGAGAAAGATAGACATTGTCAGAAGGGGTTTACAGAGTTGACTTCCAGAAGAATTATTTTATTTTGGGTTCTCAGGGGCACTCAACCACTGAGCCACATCCTTAGCCCTATTTTGTATTTTATTTAGAGATAGAGTCTCACTGAGTTGCTTAGCACTTCACAGTTGCTAAGGCTGACTTTGAACCCCCGATCCTCCTGTCTCAGCAGCTTGAGCTACTAGGATTATAGGCGTGTGTCATCATGCCTTCCCAGAAGGATTACTGATGTACTTATTAAGAGGAATAGGGACTAAGGAGCTTGAAGATTCAATCCTCCAAATAAAACTAATGTAAATTGATAGGTCTCAGAGTAAATTTACCAGTGACAAGGGCTATGCTATCATTAGCTTGAGATTCAAATAATGATGCCACATTATGCTTTCAGAACCACATTAAGCTTTTCAAAGGGCCTTCCACATCTACAATACTATCTAAACTCCACTCTACTTTCTATAGAGTTAGGTGGAGATGATTATGGTAATTTCTTAGAGAGAAATTAAGGCAAAAGGAAGTTGTGATTAAAATCAACACAGGTTGGTGAACAAGTATGTGACCCTGGTTTTAGCCACTGAGGTCACCATCTACAGGGCATGTTTTGATGGGAGTCGAGATCTGGAGAGATCTTTCTGTCCTGATAGTCCATCTCCTTGGTCAAGGTACCAGCAATTCCACACTGTGGATTTCCTCCTGACTAACTTTGTAGCATGGATAAAGAGGTGTGAGGGAGCCAGATAGAGCCCCCACCATTAGCCTACTGACCTCAGGGTCATTCTTGTGTCAGAACTAGAATCCAGACACTTACATACATCTTTGAACCCCAAGGCTCCCATCTGAAGGTAGTGTTTTCAAGAAGACACACTCCAGCCAAAGAGTAAAGGACTAGGAGTCAAAAGACTCAGGTTTTTGTCATTTCATCATGAACCTGGGCTTTGCCATGTAGCCTTGCGAGCATCACTTTTCTGGAACTGAGTTTTTCACTCTGTAAGAAATGGATAAAAATGGATCTTGGAGCCAGGTGCCGAGACATGCCTGGAATCCCAGCAATTCATGAGGCTGAGGCAGGAGGATTGCAAGTTCAAGACCAAAGGCAACTTAGTTCTCACTAAGTCAAAATAAAAAATATTCATATTTTTAAATATATGTTATATGTATATATATTATACATATTCAATACATATTCTATATGAATATATATTCACCTATCTCAAAAAATATAAAGGTCTTGGGATGTAGCTCAGTGGTAGAGCACCTCTGGGTTCAATTCCAGTACCACACATTTATATGTAAAAAGGATCTTAGGTTAGAGGACATCAGAACCACTTCTAGCTCTGATGTTCTGAGATGTTCTGAGATCCCAAGTGACTTTGTGTGTGGCAGCAGAAAAGTGAATAAGAACAGTTTGCCAGGTTCTTTCCCGCCAGGCAACAGATACCAGACAACAGACTTCCCTAGTCAGTTAAGAAAAATCCCAGAGAAAATGGTGGCAAATGGCTTGGCCTTTACCAGAAGTGTGTGGAGCTTCTGATCTTCTCGACACTTTATGTCTTCAATCTTGTCCTTTTCTGTGCTCAGAGCTTCCAGACGACTTTTGAGACGATCCTGTGGGAAGAAAGGGCAGAGAAAAGTGGCTCCATTAATAATTCAACTCACAAATATAAATTTTCTCCCACATTCTGGGAACACTGCAGAGCGCCGAAGAATTTGAAGGTGACAAAGATCCACTTCTTGTCCCTAAAAGGATCACTACTTAAGGCAGGAGTTTGTTGAGAGTGAGTAATATTAGATAGACAAATGCAGTAGTCCGGCATGCACACAGCGAGATGGGAACACAGAGGACAGACCTGCCTGTAGGGCAAAGGGAAGGCTTTAGAAAGCAGACTCCCCCACCACCCCATTTCCTCAGCCACACCATCCTACCCAAACCGGCCAAGGGGAAGCCAAGCTTCTTACCCTGTAGGGTTGAATGGCCTCCTCAAGGAGGCCCACAGTGTGGGCCTGGTGGGAGGGACCCTCCCGGCAGAACACACAGAGGAACTCTGAATCATTCTTGCAGAAGAAGTAGATCTTCTCACCGTGCTCCTCGCAGTTCATCTCTCCCACAGGACCCAAAGGCACAGGGGCCAAGAGGGTCTCTGTCTGCTCCTCTTCCTCTTGGCAGAGCGGGCAGAGCAGGACCCTGCCGGAGGCCTGGGCCCCCATTTGGGCATGCGCAGGGAGGCAGAGGCTACAGAAGGTGTGTCCACAGGCGGCACTTACTGCATCCTGAAGGGGCCCTGCACAGGCAGGACAGGCAGCCCCCTGATGGACCAACTGCAGGGAGGAGGTGGAAGGCATCACGGTGCCTTCCCCAGCCTGTCCACACTAGCCTCAGCCACGTTCACGCAAATTTCCTTTACCTGAAATTGAGTCACTTTTAAATACGTCACCAAAGGAAAGGAACACACAGCTGACAGAGGAAGGCAGGAATGTCCGCACGGAGAAGCCACCTGGCTCCACCTCTTGCACACCTAGGAACCCTTGGCCACCACCCATCAGCTAAATGGGTCCAAACTCCAGGGCATCTTGAACTACCTAGAGGTGGCCAGGTGAGCTAGATAGTTTTCCACTCCTCTGTTATCTTCTAGTTCCTGGACTGGGGAGAAGAGCTCCCCGTGAGGTCACGTCTGAAGTTTCCTGGAATCCCTTGACCATAGTGGGGTGGAGAGAACTGGGGAGGAGCCACTTCCTGTCAGATTGAGCAGGTGGGAGCCATAAACTCGCTGTGAGGTTTGCCTGTAGCGTCAAAGTCCAAACTGGAATGGGAGGTGACCGACTTCTGGAGACTCTGGGGGACTCTGTTCAGACGGATAGGTCTTCTTGGAGGTTTCCCTCCTCTGCCTGTCTTTCTTCATCATGCCTTATTTGCCATGCTGGTCTTCCCTATACTCCTAAATGCCCCACTTCTGTGGACCACCATCTCCAGTGGAGTTTGGTTAATCCTGGATTTCATTTTCATATTTTAACTGCAGGTGGGAAAAGACAAGAAAACATAATGCAAATTATGTGTTGATTTAAAAAAAACACATAGAAAACTCAATTAGTCAAAGAGATAAACAGATTCAACTATATTTATCTAGGGTTTACTATTTTCACATTATTAGGTCCATTCTTAATAACCACCCTTTGGGGCAGGTGTCATTACTTTCATTTTCAGAGAAGGAAATGTAAACAGAGAAGTAAAGTCACAGGCTGACAGCCGCAGGCTGGGGACAATCCTAATCTCCAGGCTTCAAGTCTTGTGCTCTTCCTGCACTCCCAGCCAAGACAAAGATCAAGAAGCCAGAAATTGGGGGAGGGGGGAGTCTTTCTTTGCTCACCTGCATCTGCAGATAAATCAGGGCCCCTTCCATTCATGATCAGCCCGGCACCTCCTTGTTGTCCCCTTTTCCCTCCAGCTACTTTGTATATCACCCCTACCCTCCACTCCTATCAAGAGCACAGTCTTGGAGCTATATTGTCAAATATGTGAACTACGGGCCACACATATGGCTACTGACTATTGAAATGTATATGTAAAATACATCTGAAATTCAAAGATTTAGCACAAAAAAAGCAATTAAAATATCTCATTAATAAACTTTTATACAGCTGGGCATGGTGGTGTACACCTGTAATTCCAGTGCTCAGGAGGCTAAGGCAGGAGGATCAAAGTCAGCTTTAGCAACTTAGTGAGGCCCTAAGCAACTTAGAGACACCCTGTCTAGAAAATAAAATATTTTTAAAAGGACTAGGGATGTGGCTCAGTGGTTAAGTGCCCTGGTTTCAATCCCTGGTACTACTATTACTACTACTACTACTAGTACTACAATTAATAATAATAATAATAATAATGTTTCATACAGATTACATGCTGAACTCATAACATTTTGGAAATAGTAGGCCAAATAAAATATATTATTAAAATTATTTTTTTCTGCTTACCTTTGAAAGGCTACCAGAACATTTAAAATTGCATACGTAAACACCAAAAAATCATCTTTAGGGGCTGGGGTTGTGGCTCAGTGGTAAAGTCAGTGGTAGAGTGCTTGCCTAGCATGCACAAGGTACTGGGTTCGATTCTCAGCACCACATAAATGTAAAATAAAGATATTGTGTCCACCTAAAACTTAAGAATAAATATTTTTTTAAAAAATCATCTTTAATTTTAGTAAATAAATAAATAAATTGCATATGTGGCTTGCACTGTATTTTTATTGGACAGTATTACTCGGAAGACACACACAGCTGTACCTGCAAATCATGGTCACTTCCTACTTGTTGACCTAGGGCAAGCTGAGGGAACCTGGCTAAGCCTCGGCTTTCTGCTTTACAAAGCAGAAAGCCTAATAGCACCAGCATTATAGAGGAGACAGGTGGAATAAATAAAATGATGTGTTTAAAGTGCTTTTATCAGTATAAGGTGTGTAGTCATCATAAAGAAATGCTAGCCATGACTATTGTTCTTTCTCCTCCCCCATGCAGGGTATATTTTGAACTCATTTGAAACCTCTGGAAGCCAGTTGGGACATCACCAAATACACCCCAGCACAGGACCTTATCTGAGTCCCCACACTCTCCTCCCTACTGACGGTCAGGCCCTGGGATGGCTGATACCTCCAATCTCCCTGGAGACAGCTGGTCACATTGCAGGGAGGCAGGGGTGGCATCATCACTCTGGGACCCAGTCTCCCTCTTGTCCCCCAAAGAAGACTGATCTCTTCCCATAGCTGACAGCTGAGATGCCAACACACTCCTCCACTGTGAGGGTCTCTGGATGGACAGAAAGCAACAGCAAGCCCCAGGCCAGGATCATTGGTCCAGACAGTAACTGAGGCCATCTCTGGAATGCTGTGAGCCCCTCTGCCTCTTTTCCTCCCCTCCTCTGCCTTTTCTCCATTTCTGCTATTGGCAGGTGTGTGTCTGTTCCCAAGAGAGCAGGAAAACAGAACCCTGGCACCAGAGATGCAAGTGGGTGCCTTGTCTGAGTGTGTGTGACTATGTTTGTGTCCGTGGTGTGCACATGTGAGTGTGTGTGTTCTGTGCCCTTGCTGCTCTCCCAATCCTTCCACCTTAATCAAGCAGAGAGAGTGACCTTGAGGAGTGCACAGGGCCAGCAGAACCAGCATGGCCTCAGCTGCCTCTGTGACCAACCTGGTAGATGAGGTCAACTGCCCCATCTGCCAAGGCACTCTGAGGGAACCTGTCACCATCGACTGTGGCCACAACTTCTGCAGGGGCTGCCTCACTCGCTACTGTGAGATCCCAGGTTCAGAATCCGAGGAGTCCCTCACCTGTCCGCTCTGCAAAGAGCCTTTCCGTCAGGGGAGTTTCCGGCCTAACTGGCAGCTGGCCAATGTGGTGGAAAACATCGAGCGCCTCAGGCTGGTAGCCACGCTGGGCCCAGAGGAGGAGGACGTCTGCCAGGAGCACGGCGAGAAGGTCTACTTCTTCTGCGAGGATGATGAGGCGCAGTTGTGTGTGGTGTGTCGCGAAGCCGGGGAGCACAGGGTTCACACTGTGCGCTTCTTGGAGGATGCTGCAGGTCCCTACCGGGTAGGAAGGGGGACCTGGGCTCCCCAGAGTGGGATCAAGTTGGAGTGGACCAAGAGAAACAGAGCAGAGTTGTAGATTATTTGGACCATCCTGAATCCAAATTCTTTCTCTCTACTTATATGGTCACCCAGGCAGTAAAACTAGGCACAGAAAATCACAGGTTTATCATTTAAAGGGTGTCTTATATTGTTTACTTGTGGCCCACAGACAACAGGACCTCAGTAAGTGCTTATTGAATGAATGAGTGACCAAAACATGTGTGTGTGTGTGTGTGTGTGTGTGTGTGTGTGTGTGTATTAGGCTTGTATTTGAGGAAACAATCACACACCGTGTAATTGTACCATTGTTTGCATGTTCACAAGGGGAAACAGTCTTTTGGGTGTGGATCTGAGTGAGTATTCAAGTGTGTAAGTGTAACATTTTATGTTTTTTGAATAAATTTATATATATATATATATATATATATATATATATATATAGTTTGGATAGAATATGTAGTAAATAATTTTATCTCTTAAATGGATATGTGCCAGTTTTTGTTGTTCATATATTGTTTTACTACAAGTGAGAGTATGTGTGGATGTCTTAATTAGTTAATTAGCTCTTGATGGTGAGAATCTATATGTATTTTTGAATATGCATATGTGGGCTTTTATATGTATGTACCTGTTCCTAATTCCATCCTAGAACAAACAGTTTTAAAACAATTCATCAATTATTTCTGCCTTTCCAAGTTTTTTCTCCCTTATGGAATCATTCCTAGATAATTGATTCTATAAAAGAGAGCATTGTTATTTGTACAAGTTCCTTCTGGATATGTCAGAAAGCTGGAATAATTTCAGTGACATTAAGCTTGAAGTATATCAGGACAGATTCTAGATACCACCTACTAAGCTAGGCATGGTGGCACATGCCTGTAACCCCAGCGACTGGGAGGCTGAGGCAGGAAGACTACAAGTTAAAGGCCAGTCTAAGCAACTTATCAAGAAACTCTGTCTCAAATAAAAAATAAAAAGAGCTGAGAGTGGCTGGGAGGGTATCTCAGTGGCAGACTGCCCCAGGATTCAATCCTCAGTACAGGGGAAGGAGGAGAGAGAGAGAGGGAGAGAGAAAGACCACTTACCAGATGCAAAAGAAAGTGGAAAAACCAGAAGAAAGGGCAAAAGCAAGTCACAGACTTTAATGGCACAGGAGGAAGGGGAAAGCCCAGATTAAAACTCTTGAAACACAGTGTAAGAGGGAAAAGACCCAAAGAGTGTGAGCTGTCAAGGTGCTGAAGACTCAGGGCTTGTCTACCATTCCCAGAGACAGAGGGTTGGATAAGATGACACCCCTTTAATAAATCTTTATTTTTTTTTTCATCTTAGCATTTTATGCTCCTTCTCCCTCAGGAACAAATACAGAAGTGTCTTAGAAATCTAAGAAAGGAGAGAGAGGAGATTCAAGAAATCCAATCAAGAGAAAATAAAAGGATACAAGTCCTCCTGGTAAGTGATTACCAGATCTCTCCCATTCCTCAGTGTCCAGGGTCTCCCTGAAAACAAGCAACACAGCATAGGGCTTTAAAGTCATCCTGAGTCTGAAATCCTGGCAGTGACACTTCACTATATGAGCTCAAGCAACTCTTTAGCTTCAGTTTACTTATCTATTAAATAGAGATAAAAAAAAATCATTACCACCTCAATGAATTGCTGCAAGGATAAATGAGATCCTGCCTGTAAAGTAGCTTGGTAGTATGCACACAGTGTGTACTTCCTATATGACAGGAGGTCAGGTGTCCCCTCTACCTCCTCTGAGCCCTACCCCTTTTAGAAGCTCCTGCAGATGGTGGCTGAGGCAGTGCTGTCCTGTCCAGTTCCCAGAACAGGATGGCAGGTGGAAAGAAAACCATGCCACAACTCCAGATCTCTCTGGGGAGATGGCAGGGATGCTGAAGTCTATGATTTTACCACCAAACCTTGGAGGACATGGACCTGGGCTAAGAGGGAGATAGAACCAAGTAAGGAAAAAGAAGAAAACAGATGAGGACTAAGGAGAGGAGATGATGGGGGAGGTATTCTCCTTGGCTCTTATCCTGCCTTCTCAGACTCAGGTGGCCACCAAGAGACAACAGGTGATTTCTGAGTTTGCACATCTGAGCCAGTTCCTGGAGGAACAGCAGAGTACACTCTTAGAGCAACTGGAGAGGCTAGATGGTGACATCTTGAAGCAACAGGAAGAGTTTGATTCCCTGGTTGCTGGGGAGATCTGCCGGTTTAGTGCCCTGATTGAAGAGCTGGAGGAGAAGAGCGAGAGGCCAGCAAAGGAGCTCCTGACGGTGAGGCCTGGCCCCCCAGTGTGCTCTCTGTGATTACCATCTTTACCTTGTCTACGCCAGGCTACCTTCACTCAGGCATCTCTACATCCCAGATGGGAAATGGGTCACAGGACTACAGGTCCTGATTTTAGGCTGTGCTTTCCCAAATGCTCCCTGGACACTGTGCTCCCTGGTCTCCATCTCTCCATCCTATCATCTCTCAAATCTCACAGGGCTTCTGTGAAGTGAGGAAGTGGAAATGGCACTTCAAAAAGTGCCAAATATTATGCAAACAAGTGTCAGGTGTTACTTCCAATGCAAGTCAGTCTTTATAACCTGAATGCCTCTTCCATCTGCCAGAAAATTCTTACTGGTTTATTTATTTCACTTTCTCAAACTGGAGGAGGGATATTGGGGACCCAACAAGGAATCACAAAGGCAGCATGATTTAGGAGGGTGCACTAGGGACTAAGAAATAGGAGACCTGGGGATGAGATTCATTCCCCTTTGACTCTAACTAGCAGGGACCAGTCACCTCACCACCTGAGTCTACACAATACAGAGGCTGGGCTCTGATCCTCAAAGCCTGTGAATCCTAATGTTCTGGAACTCTATGGATCTGGTGTCCTTTTTCTGTATAGGTCTAGAAAAGGATATTTTGTCTTTTGTAGACCTAAGAAAAGTAATAGAGAAAAACTGAAACTAAATCCTTCTTCCCCCCTTCCCATCCCCTCTGCCTTTCTCTTTCCCCTAGGATATCAGAAGCACTCTAATAAGGTAAGCAATGCAATTTCTCTTTTCTTTTCCACATAAATACACATATATAGCTGGGTGTAATGGTGCACCCTGTAAACCCAGCAACTCAGGAGTCTGAGGCAGGAGGATTGAAAAATCTGAGGTCAGCCTGGGCAACTTAGAAACACCCTGTCCCAAAATAAAAAAATAATAGGCACTTGCCTGGCATGTGTGTGGCCCTCTGTTCAATACCCAGCACTGCAAATAAATAAATATTGAAAAGGACTGGAAATATAACTCAGGGGTAGAGCACTCCTGGGTTAAGTCCTTGGTGCCATAAATAAATAATAAATACGTGCACCACATACCTAGTTATTGCCATACACAGATACAACATCCTCACATTAAGGACATACATTCAAACGTAAGATTCCACATGCCAAAATACATTCGCACTTATAGCTGTAGATGCACACCCTCAGATAGCAGTGTCGTCTGCCCTAAAGGAAGTATGTCTGTGAAAACTGGTGTCTCCAAGCCATGTTAGAAGATGTCCACCTGACTCTGGAGGTGTTCATTAAGGAATATAATTCCCAGACCCTGTCGTTTCTGTGCCCCTAGATGTGAAACCAGAAAGTGTCGAAAACCAGAGGCTGTGTCCCCTGAGCTGGGCCAGAGGATTCGGAACTTCCCCCAACAAGCCCTCCCATTGCAGAAGGAGATGAAGATGTTCCTGGGTAAGTGGACCCCAGGCCCCCACAGAGGTGGTCATGAAGACTGGGTTTGGAATTGGTCTCCCTGCTCCATTGCCAAGTGTTTGTGAATTTTGGCGAGGTTTATTCCCTTTCAGTGACTTTATTTTCTTGTTTGCAGATTTTTAATAAAATCTGCCTCTCAGAATGATGTGACAATTAAGAGAGGTAACAAAGGTAAAGATTTCTGGGGAAAAAATTCAACTGATTTGAAAAATAGACAAAACTAATCAGTTGGCATTAAATAATATAAAAGAGAATGATTGCCAAGCATCTATCATTCTGTCATTTAAAAATCCACAGTGGCATTTGTAATAAGTTTTAGATGATGGATGTTGTTAGTTTTCCATAACCTGTGACAGTAGTTATCTCTACCCTGTGGGAGCTGACTCATCCATCCCTCCCTTTCGCTTTCCTTCTGTTAGAGTGGCTCCCAGAGCTGGGCTGCCCCTGTGGCAACTGTGCTCCACCCTTTTCTGGAACAGGGAGTGTTGGTGGGAAAGAGTGAGGAGAGCTTGAGAGTCCAGAAGGAAATAAAACAGATAGCATCCCTGCAACTATGACATCATAATGATGACCCATCCACAAAAACATCATCCTGGAAGAATTTTCCCTATAAATCTACTTCCCACAAATATTCCCATTCGCCTGACAGTAAAGGAAATTTTAACTCTAACCAAAGGCTGACCTTTCACTATTCCAAAAATTATTTCTAAGCAGGATAGAAAATAAATCTAGCTACTTATCTAGCAGATGTTTCTTGAGCATTTATTATGTGCTGGACTGTGGATACAGAGGTAAGCAAGGCAATATGGCTGCTGCCCACTCAGACCTAGGGCAGTGGTTCTCAAAGGGGAGCTCCTGATCAACAGCAACAGTATCAGTATCCCCTTGGGAACTTGTTAGAAATGCAATTTTGAAGCCCACACCAGAGCACAGGAATGTGAATCAGGTGTGTGTTAGCAAGTACTCAAGGTAATTCCAATGCAAGCTTACGTTTAGAACTGCTGGCCTAGAGGATTCTAACTTCTGTTCTTCTCCTTGTCCCTTCCCTCTTCTGGACCTGTTCCCTTATCACTGGGTGTTCTCTGGTTTCAAAAATAATGAGATCTCATCTTGTTTTATTTCCTCTTTACAGAAAAACTCTGCTTTGAGTTGGACTATGAGCCAGGTAAGCAGCCTACATCAGAATGGCGATCCTAAAGAGGAGAAACAATTTTGCAGGGCTCTACACTGAGCACTACATAATCATATATATATAATCACACACATCATATACACACACATGCATATATATTCACATATATTTGTGTGTGTATACACACAGAGAGTCACCCCTGCATACCCATGGGTTTCATATCCATTGATTCAGCCAACCTCAGATAGAAATATTCAGAAAATCTGTTTGTACTAAATATGGCCAGACTTTTTTCTTGTCGTTATTCCCTAAACAATACAGTATAACATATTTCCATAGCATTTACAACTTTGTATGTATTATAAGTAATCTAGAGATGATTTAAAGCATATAAGAAGATATGTGTATGTAAACACTACACCATTCTATATAAGGAATTTAAGCAACTGAAGATTTTGGTCTCCATGGGGTTCCTAGAACCAGTCCCCTATGGATACCAAGGGATGGTATATATATATATGAAAGGACAGGTGCACATACATTCCTCATGAAGCTCACATTCTGATCTGCACATGTTGAGTGGATAGAAAGATTAAATTGGAATGGGATAAGGCATATCAGAGAAGCCTTTTTGCATGAGGGAAACTTTGGTCTGGGATTATAATCACATTCTCAAAGAGCTGCTCCCTCTCAGGTGTCATTTCATTAATGACAGTTTGAAAGAGGGCAGCGTTATTTCCCATCTATCAGCTAAAGACACTGTCCTTTGGAGGAGGAGTCATAGAGTTGTTGGGATTGCTCCCTAACCCATGGATAGATCTGAATTTATGGGTTTTCCTCACTGTATGGATACTAAAAGTAAAAATTTGAAGGGTTCTGCCAAAGTTTTTGCTGTTAAAAGGTGGTCATCAGAGTCTGGCAGTTTGGAGTGACTGAAGCAGGGTGAATATCCCAAGGCTGTCTGAGTCAAGTCTGACTCAGACAGCCTGCTGGCAGCACAAGTGTGCAAAGGAGTTACCATGCCCTGGAGAGAGAGCAAGGGAGAAATCCTGAAGTTGGGCCCCAGGGGAGAAAAGTCTCTGCCTCTGAGAAGGAGATGGGGGAGGGGCAGCTGTGTGTACCAGCAGGAGGGAGGTCCAGCTGGCAGGTACTTCTTGCAGCCCAGCAGGACAGAAACCGAATAAGGGCTCTAGCACCCTCTGAGGTTCCTTAGAGGAACCCCCTGGGCACCATGTTGAGATGCAGAGTCTGAGAGTCTGTATTTACAACAAGTTCCCAGGTGATGCACATGCTGAGGGTCCTTGCAGGTGCCATAACATTAGAAAGCGGGTGCAAAGAAGAGTTTTAGGCTGTCCTTGAAGGTCATAGCATGTTTTCTGACATCTTTGTCTCTTTGGGTTTTTCTCATAGCTCACATCTCTCTAGACCCCGAGACTTCCCACCCCAAGCTCCTCTTGTCTGAGGACCACCAACGGGCTCAGTTCTCCTACAAATGGCAGAATTCACCAGAAAGCCCCCAGCGTTTTGACCGGGCCACCTGTGTCCTAGCCCACAGTGGCTTCACAGGCGGGAGACACACATGGGTGGTGAGCGTGGACTTGGCCCACGGGGGCAGCTGCACTGTGGGTGTGGTGAGTGAGGATGTTCGGCGTAAGGGGGAGCTGCGGCTTCGCCCAGAGGAGGGCGTGTGGGCTCTGAGGCTGGCCTGGGGCTTTGTCTCTGCCCTAGCCTCCTTCCCCGCAAGACTGGCCCTGGAGGAGCAGCTTCGGCAGGTGCGGGTATCTCTTGACTACGAGGTGGGCTGGGTGACCTTTGCCAATGCTGTCACTCATGAGCACATCTACACCTTCACTGCCTCCTTCACTGGGAAGGTCTTTCCCTTCTTTGGGCTCTGGGGCCGAGGGTCCAGTTTCTCTCTGAGCTACTGAGAGGGTGAAATTACCCTCCTCCAAATACAAGACTCAAATCAAGTATCATGTGAACTTGATCTCTGGCTGAGTCATTTCGAAGATTTGGAATAGAAATGGCTTCTTTAGATATGATGGTAAGGGACAAGATGAGATGAACTTTAATCCACTGATCAAGGTTTTCCCCAAGTGACCAGTGGATGGTCAGGGTATCTGGGAACTCCATTGCTGCAAACTCTCCTCACCACCATCAGTCACAGAAGTAGCAATATACAGAAAGAGCACTGGATTTGGAGCCAGAAGACCTGAGTTCAAGACCAAGCTTAGTAACCAACCAATTGTATGAGTTCAAGCAGGACCCCCAGCTCTCTTCATCTTGTCTTCTTAACAAAAAATGTTAGAGTTCATTTATTCATATTCTCAAGGAACATTTATTGTGGGCTAACTATGAACCAAAAAGTGTAGGCAGCCACTGACTATTTGATATAAAAATTTTAAAAAAGGGCTGGGGATGTGACTCAAGCGGTAGCGCGCTCGCCTGGTGTGCGTGCGGCCCAGTTTCGATCCTCAGCACCACATACAAAGAAAAGATGTTGTATCCACTGAAAAACTAAAAAATAAATATTAAAGAATTCTCTCTCTCTCTCTCTCAAAAAAAAAAAAAAAAAAAAAAAAAAAAAAAACCTCATCCTGTATCTGAAGGAGTTCTGGGAAGACACAGAGACGTAAAGAGTATATTTTGACACACTATGGTGGCTTCTGTGACAGGGGTTCAACTTGGGTATTATGGAAGTTCAGAGGAGAGGGTGAGTCAGCGATAGCTTTCTGAAAGAGGTGGGTCTGAGGAGGCATGTGTTAAGTGAGGAATGAAGGGGAGGAAGCACCTTAGGAAATGGGGACAGCAGAGAACTGGGTAGATGGGCTGTGACTCAGAGGGCACTAGGTCATCTCCATAACCTCATGAGCAGACATGCATCATCCCAACCCAACACCACTCACTGCCCCTCCTCCTGGTGGTGTCACTTTGGCTGAGACGAAGGTATATGGCCTTAGGAAAAAGATGACAGGGGAGGCTTAACCATAAACCATAACCCAAAGACCACATTCAACCTCTGGGGGGAAAACATCCTCCTGATCAAGGTGAGGTCAAGAAATAAGGTGATGGAAGAAAAGGTCGGGGGATGAATTGGAGGACCTTTGCCCCTTAGCCTAAAGAGTTGAGGCTGCTCTAGGAACAGACAAAAGGCTACATATGAAAAATGGAGTGAAAAAGGGGAGATTAGGGCTATGGAGATGAGCAGATTTGGAGTAGAGAGGCCTGTGGGAGACGGGAAGCCTGTGGTCATGCTGGGACTGGGAAGTCTAGAATTGCCCCTGTACTGATTCCAGGACAGACATGGCTGCCTAGAATTTGGAAAATGATATGTCATCCCTATGCATTATGAAAATATTTTTTTAACTGTACTGAGTGATCATCCTTTATTTTCTAATTCTTGGTGTTGTATTTTATTCTGCTTACACATGCCCCTTACTCTGTCTGTTTAACATTTGTTTACCCTGCCCTTACATAAACTTCAATTCCTCATGTCTTCCTACTAGGTCCTCCATGAGAAGGTGCACCACTCAGGGTGCCACCTCAAAGGCAGAGGGCACCATAGAGTTAGGTCCAGGCTTAAAATTCCCCTGAGAATTCTGTTGTTCAACCTCGGAGGAGTAGGTAGGAAAGTCATGGTGATCAGGAGCCAGGTATTCAAGAGGGGTTGAATGGCTTCTCCTGAGAGTGTTGTATATTCCCAAATGTTGTTTATTCCCCAAATAATGACACACACAGTATCTATATAATGATAAAACATATCACACCCCAAACCTGGGATTCCACTAGAATGCAGGATTATATTTTTTTTGTTTGCTTCTATTGGTTATTCCTGGGTCTTTAAAAATGAATGAAATGTTAGATGAAGCCAGGTGCAGTGGTGAACACCTGTAATCCCAAGGACTTGGGAGGCTGAGCCAGGAGGATTCCAAGTTGAAAGCCAGCCTCAGCAACTCAGTGAGACCCCGTCTCTAAATAAAATTTAAAAAAGGTCTGGGGGAAGTGGCTCAGTGGTTAAGCACCCCTGGGTTCAATCCCTGGCACCAAAAAAAAAAAAAAAAAAAAGACAATGAGCCTACTTAAATATGTGTATGAAGGTCCAGGCCAGCCAGAGAGCTTCACAATTATGTTACTTAATCTTGGTAACTCTGTGAGTTACCCATTTTGAAGCTAAGAAACCAAGGCCCAGTGAGTTGATTATTTCGCAGATGCCTGGGGAACTTGGTGAATATGTTAATACTAGCTATGCTCCACACAGGCAATTTGGATTCAGAAAAAAAAAAAGGCTTATGTTTCTTAAACTGGGGAATAAAACTGCTGGTGAGTGAAAATACTCATACTGACCTGCTCCTCCTTTAAGGTAATTACTTACTTGAAATTTACTTACTTTTGGAGGAAGTAGATAAATCCCAAAACAGTGACCTTACAATAAAGCACCCCAATGAACTTCCATGCTCTGCTTGCAGAAATCAGACTTGGGTTCCCTCCCCAGGAAGTAAGTGCTAAAGTCTAGAGACCCATACTCCAGTGTCACACACTTACTGTGACATCCGCAAGTTTACCCCTAATTTTTTTTTCACAGTTTGCATTATAGCAGATCTTTCTCTTGCAAAGAAATGAGGCCCACTCCAATTAGTTCAGATAACAGGAAAGTTTATTATAAGAATAGACATCAAAATAAGGAAAATGAGATTTTCCACCATTATTAAGGCCTCACAGAAGCTCTTGCAAGGGTTAGGGATTGGAGAACAGTACCAGTTTCCATAGGAAGAACTAGAAACTTGAAAAATGCTGATAAATAAGAACAAACACAGCTCACTTTGACCAAACGCCATAATAAATATTTTAATATATTAAACTCATTTAATCATCACATCAACTCTATGAGGTAGGTACTATTGGTAAGATCCCATTTTGCATGAGAGAGAACTGAAATGTGGAGGCTGAGTATGGTCCCACATCAGCTGAGAGTGAGCAGCTGCTCAAGCACTGGAAATCAGGTGGTTTGGTTCCCAGGCTTGTGTTCATGGTCATCATGCAATTACAAGCCCAAGAACTGGTAGAAAGGAGGGTTCAGGTCCAAGAAAGTGTAGAGACAGGACCATCTTGTAGTCACTCAGCAACAGGGTCATGAACACTTGCTCTCAATATCTGCTGTATGGCAGCTCAGCTGCTGTCTGCAGTAGTTTCCCTGCCAACTAATGATACCATTATCAAAGATCCCTTTTGAATTTCCAGGAGAACCTGATGGTTTCAGTGAATCACTATTGCCCCTCTTTGACAGGTTCTTTCTCAACAGGCAACCCATAGACTCAATTGGCCAACCATCTGCTGACCAGATACCCACCCCTGTTCCAATCATCTATGGCTCCATTGGAAGAGGTCAGAGGTCCTGGCAGGCAACTGCAGCATAAATGACCTCTAGTTTCAATCTCCTCCCACTCCTGTCCCTTCTAGACAGGTTCTCTCTGTGACATTAACCCATTAGAGGAATCAGGGATTGTTAGCTGTCACCTTCAGGGGTCTTCTTTCCTTGGCTGCTATCTTGTTTTTAGATGTGGGGTCTTAGGTTTCTTGAGATCTACACCTTCTTGCCAAGTTACTACACTCTTGTTTTCCTGAACATCGACACTAGGCTCTTTCTCCTCTAGCCTCTCTGGAATCCCCAACTCGCTGCCCAGTTCATCTTGCACAAAGGATCCAGACTAGTTACTGCAAACACCACTTTCCTTTTCACTCCCAACTCAAAAACCTTTGATGGCCCCCTACATCTTGCTCTCATCCATCTCACCTGTTTGACGTCTGGTGTCCCTAGTTCCTGAACATTCCAGATGAGCAGTCAGTTTCCTCATGTGTCTACAGTTGTGTCATGGCTTTTTTCTACCTCTATACTTTCATTCAAGTGATAGTCTGACCTGGAATATTTTCACCTTTCTCTCCAACCTGTCCAGGCCCCACCTCCCCCATGAAACCTGCCCTGACTCATCCAGCTTCACTTGTTTCTCTCTTGCAAATTCCAAGCATTTAACATCCATGATATTTAACCCAGTTACACACTCTCTTGTAGCTTCTGGATGGGGAAGTGGAATTTTTTAAAAAGTAGTGGAAGTAACATACTTGATGTTTTACACTGTGGGAGAGACACTGCAGCAGACACTGAGCATGCACAATGGAGTTTAATTCTTACAACCACTGCAGGCCACAGGTACCATTACCCACACTTTAAAGGGGGTAGTACTGATGTTCAGAGAAGCTAAGTGACATGTCCATGGCCACAGAGGCATTAGGTTTCAGCACTGGGACTTAAACTCAACTCTGACACCTGAATCTTCACTCTTGGCAGCAGAACATGGCACCTCCTTGAGGCCATTTTTTTTTTAATCCCTAAGTGCCTAGTACAGTATTGACTCACAAAGGCTTAAATAATACTGGTTAAAAGTCAATTGATGCCGGGTGTGGTGGTACACACCTGTAATGCCAGTGATTTGGGAGTGAGGCAAGAAGATGGCAAGTTTGAGGCCAGTCTCAGTAACTCAGTGAGACCCTGTCTCTAAATAAAAAATTAAAAGGGCTGGGGGAGTAGCTCAGTGGTAGCACATCCATGGGTTCAATCCCCAATACTAAAAATAAAAATAAAAAAGCAATTGATGACTCCTTTCATACGTGGAAGATCAAGTTTATGCTATTAATTCACTCATTGCCTCCATTTACAGTTTTATTATGCACCAACTATGAGCCAGGCACCAACAATTGAGGACATAGAGTAATATCTTTGCTCACCCAAAGAAGAGAGATACATGAATAAGTAATTAATATACAATTATATTAGTTATTCATTTTCCATTAATACTACCATAAGTTTACTACCTTAAACAATCCATATTTATTGTCTCAGTTTTTTGGGGGGGGTCAAAAATTTGGGCATAACTTAACAGAATGTTCTGCTTAGGGTCTCATAAGACTGTCATCAAGGTGTCAGCTGAACCAGGTTCTTATCTGGGAGCTCAAGTGGAAAAGAATCTACTTCCAGTCTTACTCAGATGTTGGCAGAATTCATCTTCTTACAGCTGGGAGTCTAAGGGTCCCTGTTTCTACTGGTTAGAAGGTAGATAGATCCTCCACTTCAACAGGTCAGCAAGGAGAGCTTCTAGAGTTGAGTCTGCTAGGAAGGAGGAATCCTAAGCCAAGTAACATAGTACTAGAGTGACACTCCACCATCTTTGCCATTTTTCATTGATGAGAAGCAAGTAATGATTCCCAGTCTACTCAGGGGAAGGAAGTCACACAAGGGCATGAACACCAAGAGGTAAGAATCATGGGAATCCCCCTGGAGTCTGTCTACTGTGACAGTTGGATGGTACAAAGAACAGGTGCTACTGAAGCTCAGAAGAAATATTCCTCCCACAAACCTGCTGGGATCCATGTATTGACATGGCATCATCATTGGTGAGCTCGTGCCACCCAGATACCTGGGTGCTTATTTTAATACCATTGGTTTACAGGCAAAATGGAGATCATATAAGTGGTCGTGGAGATCATGGATCTGACTTCCACAGTGACAGCCATAGCATGAACCTCATTCAGGAAGGAGACTGAGTCCAAGTGTCAGAGATACAGGCATCAGATCACGGCTGTAGGGATGACAAAATAGGTATGTGTTCTGGAGATGGCAGACCTGATGATGTACCAGGAAGATTAATTGGCCACTGGACCAGCTGGAGCAGGCAGAGAGAGGAGTTCATCTAGATTCTTTGGAGTACTCCTAGAAACAAAGAAATCCTTGATAAATTCATATATTCTGTAGAATCTTCCACTGTTAGGTAGTTACTAGCAATGAGCAGT